TCAAGCTAATAATTTAAGTATGGATTACAATGTGAACGGGGTGAGATAATTAAAAGTAGTAATTAAAGGTAATAGAAGAGTTAACTAAAATGAAATGAAGTGAAATAGAATCACTCACTTCATTTTCTAACGTGAAATCTAAGGAAAGGTTACATGTATTGAAAGAATCCAATATATCAATTAAGCCAACATAGTCGTCGCAAATAAAAAATTTTCATCCATATATTGATTGATAGTAGAACTAAGATCATAGCTTTTAAGCCCAGAAATGAAACAGTCTGCTAGAATTAGGCTCAATAGAGATCTCATTGTAATCCCATCCCTTTCTCTATACACTCCATTGTCGAAACTGAGCTGGACATTAAGTGTACAAAGTAACAATAGCTCTTTCAAGTGGTTAACCAGCAACCCTATTGACATGTTGTTAACTTCACATTTATTCATTCTTTAAAATATCAAGTAATTAGTAGTCAACAACATTTAACATACCATTGTGTGTATCTATCTATTTTGTCACACATCACATCAGAACGAAGAGGAAAAGGAAGGAAATAATCCAGATAAAAGGATAATGAGGGAAGAAAATAATGAAGGAAAGTTAGACATAAGGAATGTACTTTGAAAGGGAGTGATAATAAATCTAGAATTTTGAAGAAAAAAAAGTCAATGCAACTACACTAATGTAAATGATTTCAATTCATGTTACTTATAGTTTCTAGCCATGAAATATGATTTTTGTGAAGAACACTGTACTAAATGAAAATGTTGAAAACAGTAATCACTGATATTATAAACTAGTGTCATGTTTTCATTTTTTTGTCTTTCACTTTCCGCTTATCTAATCCCATGTGAGTCAGCATTACTCGTCTAGATCAGTGGAACCACTTATATATATCAGCTAATTCTAAGACATGCACAACAACACTCGAAGGTTTTTAAACTTATCCGCCAATAAAAAGTTCTTGACAATATTATACAACTAGTTCATACATAGTCGAATGAAATTTTGTTAGTGCGTAAGAACAGCGACATTTTCAATCTTAGTTCCATCATAAATAATAAGACATAATAGTCAGCACAAAATTAAGTCATAAAACATGGTCAGTTTATGAAAAGTCTGTTTATATGGTTAGATAAATTTTAAAACCACAGTATTAAAAAAATGATTTAAATCCACAATGAATAGTAAATTTTAGTATTTGAAAAGTACTACATACATATAATTATACTCAGCATGCTCATTAACTTTGAACGACTTAAGTGTATAGGTCATCAGAAACACTAAAAAAACATTATTTTCAAATTTAAGTAATCAGCATGAAGTTTCTAATTTAGATACCGAGTTTATTAGAAACTCGTTTGTCATCACTTCAGACTAAAAGAAACTTAAACTTTTATAGAGTCATATGAGGGTCATTCAGTAAACATTTGGTATCGGTTCAAATCCCATAAATTACATTAGTACAACTAGAGAAGAAATTCACATGATAAAATCATAGAATCTAAAATAACCCTATCAAAGCTATTGGAAACTAAACAAAGAGAACATAGTTCAAAAATAATGAGTTTCATTGAAAGGATTAAAGTATGAGTAAGCTATCATCTGACTTTTATAACTATGTATTATAATAGCGAATTATGATAGTGATCTCAACTAGGAAATTTACACCTTTGAACATGAATTATATCAACAGTCAGTAATACTGGTGACCTGCTTGAATATCTGGGCTACCTTGTCCCTGCCATTTAGATATTTCGACAAGCTATCTACTTTTTATCAGTATGGGGTTGTTCTGCTTCTTTTAACACACCATTATGCTTATTGGTCGCATAACCCATTTGAGCGCGTTTATGAAAACTTTACAACTTTTCACCATACAAGTTATAATCAGAGACGTTGTGGTATTTGGCAGTAAACATTGAAAAGAATGAACATTATTCAGATGTCAATTCTTGAACTGTCAACATCTAACTGGTGACCACGTAATATTTATCGTCAGGATTGATCAAGAAATAAGAAAAAAACTTGCTGAAATACTTCGTGCTGAGAATTTTATATTGTACCAAAAGTCTAATATTGATTAAATCCATTAATAATAATAGTAACCGTGGTATAATAGTATTTCTCAGTTTGCTGGAGTGTACTATAAATAACTTATGAAATATAATGGTTTTTAGATTATAAGAAAACTAAAGACTGCCAAGGTATAGGGAATTAAAAAAATTTTCACTGCCATATCAGTTGGAAAATTAATTAAAAACCATCTGAATTGTATGTTGCTTTTTAATTCAACTTGAAATTTGAATTGAATTAATGGTCTAGAGGTTTCATTTAAACCATTTTATCAAGAATGTTTTCAGGTTTATGAAAGTAACGTTTTTTTAAAAAACTTTCAAACAAACATTGAAAATTAATTGTTTGAATTTGAAATAGCACTGACCATGAACGCAAATGAACCATTGTGACGTACTTCATTCTATATCATCCAACAATTTCAACCAATGATGAGGACCACTGCACTAGTTGAGATTAAAAATTATGAATCTTACTATATGGCTTTGATTAACAGTCAATAACTTCATAAAGTGAACCCATGTCATAATATGTTTACTCTAGTTTTATTCCAACCTATTCTTATAATAACTAGCAATGGTAAACAGAGTAGATAGTTGTTACGCATGTGTAAAAAATTTCCTGATTACCTCATACGATCAATAAACTCGTACCATCCCCCAAGTACTCTGAAACTAACCTCAGTACACTCGGTCATTGGTTCCACTTATGAAACAAACTATATTTAAATACTTTTTGTCTATACATGTCTTCCATTTCCACAGACTATAGTTCATACCGACAGACCAATCGATAAATGACTACTATACAGTGTACTCGCCAAGTGATTTGTTGGCGGACATTTCACATACATCAAAAGTGAATCAAGTTATTGGAAGCTAAATAAGCTTACTGCATTCTTACAATAGGTTCATGAAAACAGCAACCTACTAGGGCTAATGAAATTTTTAAGGCAATTTTAATTATTGTACAACTGTCCGCCATTTAATATACATTTATTATACAATTTTATGACCAGTTTTATGTACATTCATCTATAGTACTAATTATTAATTCCTTTATTTTTATCTATTTATGTTAAACCTTTCTTTGTTATTTTCAAGTTGTTTCTGTTAATTCGAAAAGCATTTCTCGTGTTTTAATTAGCTCATATTAAACTATGTACTAACATATTTAATAATGATCAGTTCAATAATTTATTTTTTCAATACAAAATCAAATAACTATAATATAATAAAGTATTTGTCTAATATTATACTTTCTTTATGTCTAAAACTATATAACCATTATCAGTCTTCAAATAAACTATCAAAATAATATTAGTTTAATTCATGATAATGAATGTAACAAATAAAAGATTTTAACAATCATTCTAGTTCATTAGAAGGGGTTTTGTAAAAAATTTAGTAATTTCAATCGTTGAAATCATGAGTCAATTAAAGCTAGACCATCACAGAAAACCTGGAAGTACTGAACAGCCATCCTTCCATGTATAGGACTCCTCAATAGTGTGCATCCACGATCTTGCCCCACGCAAGATTCGAACCCAGGACCTTCCAGGTCTTTTTATGGTGATCTAGCTTCAGTTGACTTATGATTTCAACTGTTGAAATTACTAAAATCTTCACAAAATCCCTTCTAATAATATTCATTTGCTCACTAGTGACTGATTTCAAGAAGCATTTCCTGGAGTTCTAATGAGAAGCTATGACCAGTGTAGTTCAACTAGATCTGTTGTGAGATACCAGCTCACTGAAGACAATGATGCATTCTACTTTAATCTTATAGTTCTAAAATCAATATCAATTAGCTTTGTTTTATTTTTTAATTTTTTGTTAAAAAAATTCATTAGGAATCCTTTAATGCAAAAAAACATTAATTTCCTCTTTTTTTGTTTAAGTATTTTACTAAAATGTCTCATGAATAATCGAATATATCTTAGTGATAAATTTTAAAATATTGAACAAACCCAGAAAATTATATTTTCCCTCTTTTTTTCTTCTTATGTAATTAAATTTGAAAGAAAATTCTTTTTTGACAATACTGTAATTTAATATGAAATTAATAAACAAAAATTTCTTCATATGGTTTTTTTTCAAGAAAGAAAAAAGAAAGTAAAACAGTGAAAACAAAAATTAAAATAAAAATATAGAAATGATAAAATTGTGTAAAAAGTTGATTATCGATTTTTATTTTACATTATTTAATGCTATCTAGAGACTATATTATGAATGAATGTAATCTGATTATCAAACTAGATAACATAATATAACAATCTTGTATATTCAAAGAATAAAACAAAAATGATAAGAAGTTTGAAAAAAGAAAGATAATAAATGATTTAAAAGAATAAAAAAGTAATGAATTGCAATGTTATGACAATCATTCTAAAGAAACATATGGTGTTAATTTTGAGGAATGCCCTAAATTGAACTATATTATAATCCGATATTAACATCCAAGATAAATCATATAATCCAAACTAACTTTTCTACAAGTAAATGCAGTTAAGTAGCTATTTCATGATGTATCTTAAATATATAGATTAACTGTTGTATTTCAATATAGTTTGGTTGTTATTTGATAACTGTTTTAGATTCTATTATTTTACTTCATTTTAACTACTAAATCATTCTTTCTTAGTAACATTCTATTTTTGATGTGTTCAAAGTTAATTAATGATTATTTAACAATAGAATTATGTACATTTGTTTAAAATATGATTAAATTGTTTATAGAACAGAATTTAGTACAATTTTTAAAAAACCACTAGTCATTTAATTATTATTTATTATTTTCTGTCGCTAAGTTAGATCTCTATTCTTTCCTAAAATTGATCATTAAATACAGTTAGTGCCATAAGTATCATGTAAAAACTATATTATACATTATATTTATTTACTAATAAATAGTTACAATAGCTTACCGTCGTCATTGTCAGTATTACAGCAATGATAACTGTTATTATTGTCAATATCATTTGATAAAGCTTTATATGCAATGTTTTGCAAAGCATGATAAGCTGTATCGTTGATGGTGGATATTCCAATGTGAGGCGGAGACAATAAAGAAGAAGAATCCTGGAAATGTATAAAAAAACAGAAAATTTAAAGTGAACATATTGTAAGTATTGAAGTAACCATCTAAAGTATAGAACTGTAAAGTTTTGTAACTAGAAAATTATAAAATCATCATATAGTTGGCTGGGTAATATTTCTTCTTAATTTTTGATGGTAAAATTCATAATTTTGACAAAATATAAAATTATTTATTATAAAGATATATATATATATATATATATATATATATATATAATGATTATATTGCATAATCCAAATTATTAATACTATAAAACAATCAATTAACCCTAATGATTACATGCTCGTGTTTGTATACATAACTCACTGGTTAAATTCAAAAATAAGTTAGAATTAAATGTTACGCAATGATTTCATAGCAAGATAGAAAATACTTCAACATTATGTTCTCTACAACATTTCTGTTTAAATATGATGATAAGATAAATTAAATTAAATTTTCATGATTTCATTATGAAGAGGTTATACTATGTAACTTGAGAGTATTTTATATTACATGAAACTAAGAATATATAACCAATAGATGTGGTAAATTTAAAAACGTTATTAGTCAATTATGAAGTATAACGCTCCAAATAGTGTTAAATAAAACTTGTCACATACAATATAGCTCTCGGAATTAAGAAAAAACATAAAGCTAATTAAAATAGCTGAGATCATGAGTCAATTAAAATTAGACCATTATGGAAAACCTGGGTGCACTGGACGGCCGTTTCCTCCTATTGTGGGACTCCTCAACAGTGTGCATCCACGACTCCGCCTCGCGAGATTCCAGCCCAGGACCTATCATTCTTTCACGTGAACGCCTAACCATTAGACCACTGAGCTTGCCGGTATCCAACGGTGTTAATGTCTTCAATTAATCCACGAAATTGAGCGATACATCCACCATCTTCTTCAGTGAGTCACTATCTCACAACAGACCTGGTTGAACTCCACTGTTCACTGCTTCTCATTAGAACTTCAGGAAATACATCTCTAAGCCAATCAGTGCTTCTAGGTTTTCAATGGTGGTTCAGCTTTAATTGACTCATGATCTCAACTACTGAAATTACTATAATATCCATAAAAACCCCTTCTGATATAAAATAATTGTTTAGTTTTGTTGTAATTCTTAGTTATATTCAATCTAAGTTACCTATGACTGGTAGTTTGTTTTTTTTATATTGAAAAAATAACTATCGACAACTGATGTGCATATTAGGTTGCTTTTTTCAACAAATAGGTATAGCAAATAAAATGATGCATGTAAACATATGAGAACAATAACAGTATAAGATTAATGTAATAAAATAATTTACTTAATATAGGTTAAGTTAGTAATGTACAAAGTTTTTAATGTTATGAAAAGAGAGCGTTAACAGAAGAGAAATTTCTTATTATGTTTTCGAAATAAAAATCAACAAAAGCAGACAATTTTAAAAGCCTTTATTCATGCAACACATTGGAATACCGGAATTCTGTAGAATGTGGTACAAAAAGTGTTTGGAACAATGATAAAAGTTTTTAAAATGAACTTAGAGAGTGTTCAAGATATTCAGTAGGGTAGAAAGCTAAGTACTTGTAGTGCCTGTTGCTACATAAAGCCCACATAGTTTATTCTAGATTCCGTACAGGCCAATTTATCCATTCTTCTTCAGTCACATTTTACCCTGTTGATTATTCGCTTCTCCTTTGTCTTGTCTCTCCTTGCCCTTGTCTTACCTTGCTTTGCGTCGATTCAATTTGGTTATAAATATTGAGTTGGCAAATACGCCTTCTACAATCTGGTTTGTTTGCTTCCTCTTCTTTTCTTCGTTTCTCCAACCGTTAGTACTGATCAATGGTTGTACAAAATATACGTATTCAAAACGTCATTCTCGAACTTGAATAATTTAATTCCGTTATTAACTAACGCGAGTTAAATCGATAATCATATGCGACGATTGAGGATATGTATATTTTGGTAGCAATCAGAAACGATCTATTTAGAGGGTCATTCAATACTCACTAATTTTTACGCATAAAAAATAATAATGCTGCATGTTTATTTAGAAGTAAAACCGGTGCTATTCTTTCCTCATAAGTGCTCTTCCTGGAGTTTTGTGATATAAGAATCATTGTCAAGACATTTGATTTATATGATGTGAATCGACCGTGGACCCACATTAATAAACTCTTAAGTGGATTTGGAAGAGATGAGATTATTTACATGATCGCTCCAAGGATGCGAATAAATTATAGTTTTATACCACCTTGTAAAAGTTCATTCAACACTCAAAAGTGGAAACCTAAACAGGAAAAAACACCCATTTATGGTTCTTAATGCTAATCAAGGTACAACTGTACAAACACATATTTATTGTTAGAAGTATTCAGATCACACACATTAGGGGTTAACTGTCAAGAAAGAGTAAAAATAAATCTAAAATTTCAAGTCTACGCATTGTAATTGCATTCCCTTAGTTTAATTATCAGGATCTGTTGTTGTATAAATTATGTCATAATTTACATCACGATAAAATCGTAGTTGAGTAAACAGTAAATACCGGGAAGTGAGGAATAAAACACCAGTCCAGTTCAATGGTCGACCAACTAAGATCATTCTGTACTGTAGAATGCTAAACTACAGCAATATCTGCAATTCCCTTATATTAGTAGGTTTCATAACTGCAAAAACCTTTTTTTAATATTATTTGAAAACTAAAAAATTAATAGTTCCAAATTCTTACATGTTTTGAGTTGAAAATATAAAATCTTTGTTCGTTCTCAAGAATAATGCAAAATTTTTTCGCCCAAACGGGATTGGGAAGATTGTAAGCAAAATACTTCCATTCGGAGTAACAGTTCTCAATTGAGTCAACATCTGTTAAAAATTTTTAAAGTCATATTTATTGATCACATTACCCCAAACATCTAGCCACGATTCAAGACGTATGGGAAAATCCTTAAGATACGACATCCTTATGAAAATCGGATAGATTTGGATATTTCTGCACTTTTCGTTAGCCTCGTCTTTAATCCTTTATTTGAATTGAAGTGTAATATACCTATACAAGAAAGTCTAAAAGAGAAAAGCAGTATGTAAAATTGATCCTTGACATATGAACTAATGAATCATAAGAGAAGAACTTAACATTTTTGTCATACATTTACTGACATAGAGGACGAACTTACATATTAATAAATGAAATGTATTTACTCACTGTTCTACACCAGTGTGATTACAATAATAAAATTACAGCTCTGTGAAATATCACTTTCTTGAATTGATTTACAATGAATCGAACTTAGGTAAATACCTGGTTAAATATGACAAACAAGTTATTAACACTGACAATCTCCCAAATAAATTAAAGATTCAAAGGTTTTCAATTTTTGGAGATAACCTTGCCTACACTGTGATAAAATGTATTTTCTCGGGTATGGTGTTTCAAAGTTTCCTACAGACCTTAGAATTTACTAACGGCAGGTTATGGAATTGATCGCTTTCCCAAATTTAATTAAAACACTTACAACGCACTTCGTCAGCTATGTACAGTCTGGTAAGATTAAAGTGGTCCAAGATTCTAATATAACTATCCATCTGGTAAACAATGTGTCCATTAGAGAACAGTAAACTGCCCTGACTTAGAACTTTGAAAGTTAAAGTCTGGAGTTGAGGTAGGATGTCTTCAAGTAATTAAGGAATATAAATTTATCATTCAATATAGCGAAGATTTATTGGGGAAACAGAAAAAAGCTACATTTCAATTAAGACCACTAAACTATGATTGTGATAGAATGAAAAGTAAGAAATTAAGCGATTCACAATGTCAATTTCAAGTTCGGACTGCATGACTGATATTGTCCCTACAAATCTCAGCAAGGCAGAATTAAACTGTTTACCAATCACATTGAATATACAAATTATATCCAATTTGGATTTTATTTGTCTTGGGTTGCAGTTAAACTGCAAAAACCGTTTTTTATCTAAAACCTGGGATTCGTATCACTTTAAACGTCTTACAAGAGGTAAGCAAACTAAAAAGACAAAAATCTCAAATGTTCTGCTGGACATATTTCCGAGGACATAGGCCTAAAAAGATAGGACGGAGAGTTGAATTCTGGTGAGCGTTAGTCACCGACGATAACTTGATATAAATATGGGAGTTTAGCATGATATTATTTAAGCCTATATTAGCCAAAAGGGTGAAATAAAATTGTTTTTTGTCAAAGATTATGTATACATGACATTATTTCTTTTTACTCATAAAGTACATAATTACTAATCCATCTAGCCGCATTTGATTAAAATTAAACAACGTAAGTGATACCGACTTCCTATAAAAAAATACTCAGAGTAGCCACACCCGTATGTTATCGATGACAAACAGCTTCAAAATACTTCTGTCAACATTGATACGGATAATTGTTGTGCAAATGACCCCAAAAAATGCGAAGTTACCACCTTCTTCTAAAGTGTCGTTTTGTAGTCAAAACAGGGTGAACTTCCATTTATATCATCAATAATATATAAATACTCTATATTTAAATATCCTATGGGAATGTGATAAACAGATGCATTGAAGATTTTAATGGTATTTTGCCAAACATTGTTAATCGCGTTTTGAATTAGACATGGTTAGTAAGCTGTACAAATAATATTCAAGTTCTGCAAGATGCAGCTGGAATTTTCAAGTAAGATGTGTTAAAAGGCCTTTCACTTAATATATCAACAAACAACCTTTATAAACTAATGTACAACAGTGTTGTGTAAGTTAAAATGCAATCATATTCTAGTGAATATTCGGACTTGTAAGTCTTTGGTTCATTAAACATTTTTAAGAAAGTTAATAACACTAGCATGCAGTGTCGATCTATGAACACTAATGATAACGTTGTGCATTGTTCGCCTTAGTCTGGTAAGGCTCTGAGGAAAAGTTAACAACTAAAGTTGTTGAATGAAGGCTGACTCGGTGAAAAAAGATAAAATGCTCTAAATGTTCGCTGAAAAATAAACAGATCAGCCTTGCAAAATGTCAGTTTATTTTCAACATACAAATGCTTTAAAATATCTACCGCTAAACTGTTGATAGAATATAGAACCTTAGTTTTGTTCTCGTTGACTAATCCTGGCAATATGAGGTGATACCGGATAAAATCCAGTGAATGCTTATGTTTAATTACAAAACGTCTCAGCATGTGTTACCTCAGATGAGAATAACGACCCCAACACGAAAACGTTGGTAGTGAAATCGTTATAAATCACGGTTTTGAGAGAAAACGTAACCCATGGTGAGAATTGACGTTTCAAGAGTTAACCGTCCAGATGGAAAATGTACTTGAGTATGAAACATTCCATTTTACTTTAAGGATAAACTGGACTCTGTCTACAGAAAACGCAGCCACAAGAGCGAAAAATGAGGGGAAGAAAGCATTTGAGCGTTACTCTTAGTTAGAGTTTTTTGTGGTATACTTGATGGATACATTCTGAATCAAGTTCTACCATATGGTAGAACAGCTATTTAACTTTGAGGATTTCCCCAAAATATCCCCAAAGCTACCCAAAATTTCCCCAAAATTGGGAGCTTGGGATAGTAGAACCGATATACCGACTTATTAAAAAGCAAGAAATAATAGAAAAATCGATACTCGAAAATTCCCACCATAATTAAATAATGTGCATAACACCTTACAACCCGTAGGTAGTACGAGAAGATACTAACAATGTCATAATATACAAATTGTCAGAATAGGCGAAACACTTAAAAATTATGATTTTTGTTATGACATGTTTTAAAATTTATTGTCTGTCGACAACGCACCTGATGCTCATATTATTATTTTTGACATAATTACACGAAAACAAAACATGAAAATATGCAGTTACAGAAATAATTTCAGCATTAACACGGTTCCTACAACCAAATAGCGCTCCTTATTACGTGACTCAGTTACCGTGATACCTAGGCCACTGAACAACCCTTTCAAGGTTACTAAAATTGTTGATATGACGGTTAGTAATTACTCATTTTATGTTTTTCATAGTAATTTTTCGCCTTTAGTCATTCGTTCCGTTAAAATATTCGGAAAAATGATAACTGTCATTTTGTACGTCATGACTGGATTCAAAATTATTCCTAGAATAGAAAACAAACTAAGCTATAATTATTTCCTCTGGAACACTAAATACTAATAAGTTTTATCAGATTTGGTCTGTTTCACAAACAAAATCAAAGAGCTCAGTGTTTAAATTTTTCATTGTCCTCACTGTACGGATTTGTTTTTCAATTAAAATGACACGACCTTTCTGAGATAAATACGTAGTTCATTTACAAGGATTCGTTTTCAAGCTGAAACGCACACACCGATCGTCTAACCATTTTCGTTCAGATATTCTTCTCAATGAAAATCCAATAGCTTACATAGAGCATGGTAAATGCCACTAGTATATTAACAATAAAAAGTAACATCACAAAGTCAAGAACAAAATCATTTACCTACTTACTTACGTCTACTGCCCCGAGATATATAGGCTGCTCACCAGTATTTTCCATCAAAATCTCCTGGTCAATCCCTTCCACTTCTCCCAGTTGCTATCTATTCTTTTGATATGGGCTCCAGAATCCAGAAGCAGTGTAATCATTTTTCTTCCTATTTTCCCTGTTTCGTTCAGGAAAATAAGTCAGAGCTTACAGCTCGATGATTGCAACAATTTACGTCTTACCCATATCCAATGTTTTTTTCCTAAGTCTTTTTTTAGATGAAAGCTGGTTTGTTTTGTCACGGTAGGTTGTTTCTGATGGTATCTGACCAATGGACATTGAGTATTTTGCGTTGTATTAGTTTTCCAAGTTTCAGCTCCGTACAGTAGAACGGTTTTGACGTTCATATTGAAGATCCCCAATTAACTGTCGACTGACAGTTGTTTGGGTTCCACATTTTCTTCAGTTGTTGTTATGCTAACTGCCAATTCTTGCCTTCGTATATGTCAATGTTGTTTGTGGCTCTGATTTTTCGAGAACCGCATCGGCCTCATGACTTCCGATCAATATCGGCTTTCTCCATGAGTTGTCATAATTCTTCTGAATGAGAATCTTCTAGCTCTCATGTCAGAAATTAAGTGATTTAAATTGCTTACTCTGATCAGCACTTTTAGCAAGGTTGTCTTCCACAAGACGGGTTCGTTAACTTTATGATCAACTATCCTCCTCATATCGAGCTTGGGACCAGCAGTAACCCTGGAAGAGCTACAGCTGGAATTGAAACTAAACGACCTGGTATTGAATTCCAACCACGGTTTTTAAAACAATCACTACCATCAAGAAGGTTTGTATATCTTAACAAACAGACCGGTTACAGCCAAGGATTTGTATCAAACTTCTAAAGCATCCACACAGCGTAACAAACAACTACCTTATAACCAGGCACTGATAAATATTATGATGATAATTTCATGTTATACACACTCAACATAATGGTATATCCTAAGATTATAAGAGTTTTGCAAATTTAAGGCTGAGCGTATTTTTATGTTTTCATACATAAAGAAGACGGCTTAGTTCATGTATGAGATGAAGAAAATGTTCAGCTATTTTCCACCTTCCGTGGAACGGATATGATACATATGTGCCGAAAATAACGTTCAAATAATACTATGTGCTACATGCTCTGGAAGACTGTAATAAGTTCATCTATTTTGTTAGTTTTCGTCAGTAAGAGTTAGCATCGCCCAAACTGCAGGTCATGCAGGTGTCACCATCGATCATTCTTCACAATGTGACCAATAGAGTCATAACCACATACCAGTCACCATATCAATGGGCAATTACAATTTCGATGCATACTACCACGAACAACATTTCGGTAACCTACAATTTGTGAAGTCCGAATATTGACTGCTTATCGTAGCCCATCATAAACAGTACGAAAACATGACCTCAATAGTCTAGTAAGCTGTGAGAATCTGTTAGGCGTTCTACGAACATTATTTCAACACACGAACTTTGTATGTAGCTTCTGATTGGCACGAAAATGGGGTTCATGAATTGCATAGTGACAGCATGTAGAATTATGGTCTACTATGATGTTAGTACTACTCTAATAATAGACTTAATCATAAAATTGCAGATTTGTCATGATAATAATACCTAATTTGTAAGATCCTACATTTCAGTCACACTATTGTCTACACCATTTCATCGCGTTGTAACAATCACCAAATATATAATGAACAACAAACTTAGGCTAACGATAGAACAATATATTTAATATAAATAAAAGATTACGTTACAACACTTGAAAGTGAGCACGCCTGCAAAGCCGACTCATGTTGCCTGATGGATTCGAATTCCTTCAATTTCTTGTTCCCGCTTCCTCCATCGTTGGGTTTATCTCCGCTTTAAATGTTGATTATCTATTTTCCCAATTGCCTCGTGTTCAGGTTTGAGGAGTACTTGATTAAGGCCCAATTCCACTACAAATACATATCCCTTTTATAATTCATGACTCTAACTTCGACGTTTCCTCGATCATTTGGACATATTTCACATACTCACACATCACAACGCATTGTACTTTATTGCTGCATTCTTATTCTGGTAACAGCAGTTAGTATGAACTTCATATACTCATTTGCCATACCTTTGGTTGTTTCCCTACAAAACACTAACAATGTTTAGGGGTTAATGTCCAAATTCCGTGCTGCTTCATTGTGACTTTTTTTCAGAACCACGTTATCAGTGTGAAGCTATGAAGCTTCTTACGCCTGAAGCATACTTGAGGTACTATTTACAGACTAAAAGCTGTTCGTCAAGAAACAGCGTAAACATATACCATATATTTCAGTCTTACTACCACTAATGTTATTCCAATGAACCAAAGTTCATTTCCCTGTTACCATAATGGATGTTTGTTGTCACGTGTTAACCTATCTGAAGAATTGTCGCAGTAAAACCTGCATGATTTGCTACAAATTCATCATGTCTGTAAATTTATACGCTTCAAGTAGCTTATTGTTGCTTGGGAGTGAATTATTGTTACTACAGTTATCAGCATTATTCACAAGTGACAACAGATGACAGAGAAGTGACGCTCACCATCATATTTTTAAGAACGTCTGAAACTTAAAGCAAAGAAGCTAAAAACTGAAGGTGATCTTAGTTTACAAATACCTGTGTACTGTAGTCAGCATGCCTATTACACGGTAACATCCATGAAACAGCTGAACTTACATTGGCTTTGGTAAACCATAACCACTCTTTGCAGATAACATAGGAACCTAGACAATCTACTGTCCAAGCCTGACGTATATAGAATTATAAATAATCGTCATCAGATGTTAGAAGGTTGTCTAAAAATAGTCAAATAAAAAAGTCTCATGTTATGGTGATTCCACATACCTCCCTAATATCTTGATTAAACACATTGTTACGTAAACAGGGTTTCACTCGTTCTTCAAAGATTCTTCAAGTAATAAGACGCCCCAAGTATCAAGAAGAGGCTAGTCAAGAAAAATATGGTGTGACTGCGGCAAGATCATATGCATTAGAAAGTCACACCATAGTTAGTCAACAATTCTAGGCCAAGCACACTAAACTAGTAGCATAAGTAACCGTGGTTCCTAATTTGATGGAAGCTCCAAACTCGTAAATAAAGCTGAAAAATAAAAACAAAAAATTAGACAACCTAACAATAACAAAGAACAAAAAGTTAAAATTAAATAGACCAAGCTGCTTTCTTGGTCCCAGTTTACTTTCTGTGATGGCTAACAAATTGCATCTGTCTGTTCTGACACTACCTAACATCATTTGAGCACACGTAAGTGAACTTTAAAAAGCTGTAAAAGGCAGACTTACACACTATAGAGTAGTTCTAAATTTCGATTCAGCTATACGTTATATTCAAGTTTCCTCGATCAGGTTGACTGAGCTTTGACAAATAACCAAGCCCCTACTAGGCGAATTGTATTTCATCACAGTTCAAAGATTATCCTTCGAGAAGAACAGTTACATTTCTTGATGATAATTTTCCGTTAATGTAATATCACAGAAACAATATGCCCTGTCTCCGAAAGGAAGTCAGTCATTAGGTATTTCATAAAACGCGCCATACTATTGAGAAGTCAGTGAGAACTGTCTATAGAAATTTTTATGCGGTAGCATATGGCTACCAGAAAATGTGTCATATCAGTCGTCGAATCAACATCGTTTTCAAAATCTGATGGTTCTTCTAGCATTTCTTACAACTAGTAATCTAACCGCATTTGTATTGCTAGCTAAAATTTTGGCAGCTCTACAAAGTGTAACGTTAACTGTGAAATAAACACAAAAGTAACCACAACATCGGATTCCACAGTTTCATTGTTTTGAGATCAATGCTTTGGTGGCATCAAATAGAATAAACTGTCATCACTAACAGAATTTATGCAAGACTTACAAGTGAAAGAATATTTCTACGTTAGTACTATTTCTAAAAACTTATTGGTCCAACATAAATGTTTTCCGAGAATAACTGTCATTGGACCCTTAGGATCAATGGCGCGAATTAAGCCAATACCAACTTAACACCAAGCGCGTTATCGATATCCCTTACACATACTTCACTGGTATTTATAGGTGATTAACCAAACATCTTCATACACATACTTTTAATTTTACGACAAGACGTTCTTATACACAACAAGCGGCTTGTCACAAATTCGACACAATCGTTCTGCACACTGAGAATGTTTCGGCACTTTTTTATGTCGGAATGTCTTCATAAGAGAGGTTGGCTGCAATTAAACGCAACTCAATTTCGTAAATGTGCCCTTCAGCTTAGCAGCCAATCAGAATGAGGCGGGAATCATTATATCCGCCATCTTTGTAAGCAATGGCGGTCGGCTTTCTTCATTCTCTGCTTCTTTCAGCTATTTCTTTTTTGTAGCTATGTAATTTA